TCTGTGCTCTAATAACAGTTGAGCAAGTGTCTGTTGCTTTCCTGTAGTTTATTGTAGATATGCTATGTGCTAATAGCTAATAAATGTTAGCAAAACACTAGCTAATATTAGCTTTCAGCGACTGTACTTGTATAGCGCCTTTCCAGTCTTGCAACAACTCAAAGCGCTTTTACACTACATGCCACATTCACACAGTTGAAATGGGAACTAATACTCATTCATTCATTCACATTCAAACACAGATGCAAAGCAATTTGGGGTTTAGTATCTTGCTCAAGGACACCTCAGACACTTCAACATGAGGCCTTTAACTAGCTAGCTAACGTAAATCAATCGTTAGTCAGCTAGTTAAAGCTGAAAGCTAATGTTAGCAAATGCTAGCTAACATTTTGCTGCTAATATGACTATATATGTCACTTTTATCTTTTAAACCTCTTCAAAATGTGTTTGTCTTTTCAACATGGCTTAGCCTAGCACATAACATAAGTACAGGAAAGGAGAAAGTTGACTGAGGTTCTGACCGTGGCTTTCTCAACTGTTATTGGAGCATAGAGCCAAAAGAGGCGGGACAAAGGAATGGTCAATTAAAACTTAAGGAGGAAGCAGGAAGCAGCTAGTTGAGAAGTAAAATGATCAAAAATATACTTCAAAGTATCCTTTAAAAGAAATGTATCTTGGCTGTCTCCATGTTCCAGATTTGGTGGAGTGTCTGGATGGCATCTTAACCACCCTGCTGGAGGACAACATTCAGGTGTGGTCCATGAAGAGCCAGAGTGAGCACGCACAGGTGCACACTGTGTTGGATAAGATTGATGCCGCCTCTGACCAGCCTGTACTAGCCGCGTTACGTACCACCACCTCCCTCAAATCCCCCACCCTCTACATCTTCACCTCTGGAACCACTGGTGAGTCTGTGGTGTGAGTAGAGACATTTTAAAGCTGCAGTAGGTAACTTTTACTGTTAACTTTTGGATCTCTGTAAACTATTAAGGAATTAAATAATAAATAAATAATAATAAACAAGGAGTACGGTCTAGACCTGCTTTGAAAAGAGTCCTGAGATAACATTTGTTATGAATTTGGCGCTATACAAATAAAATGAGAGTCAACAATCAACTATCTTTCTAGTACTGTCAGGATAAAGTAAGTTTCGGCAAATATGACAGAAATTATTTGTTTTATAAAAGTTACCTTCTGCAGCTTCAAATCATAGTGCACTAGTTTTCAGTTAGGATAGTTCTTACTTAATTTACATGTAATCTGTTTTTACAAAACCAAATGCAGGACTCTAACCCAGGAGACTACTGTTCATGAAACCAAAAGGAAACAATTTCTTTTGAGTGATGTACTTAATATGTTATCTTATGTATTTAATGTAAAACAGCAACAAGGAAAATTTTCTGTTGAATCTGAGGGCCCCTGTGGACAAAAGCGGTAGTATTTCTACTGCCTCATTTTATTGATTTCAAGGGAAATCTGACTGAATCCGACCTATGGTAGGCATTAACAATAATTATATAGAAATATTTTCTCATTAATTTACATGTAGTCTGTTTTTACAAAAATGCAAGGTTGCCACCTCTCTCTCTCTCTCTCTGCGTGGGATACAAGCACACACTGATTGCTGTGTTATGTCAAAAAAGAACATTTTTAATTTTGACAAAGTCATCTGACCATTACCAGATATTAAGTTATTGATCACAATAAAGCAAGAAAAAAGTTCTGGCTTTATTAGGTGGGCCTAAAAATACACTCCTCTTTAAATTAGCACATATTTAATGATATTCTGCCTAACTTGCAGAAATTCATGATAAAAATGATAAATGATAAATGAATGATAAATACAAAAAAAGCTATATTAATC